CTCCTCCTCCTCCTCCTCCTCCTCCTCCTCCTCCTCCTCCTCCTCCTCCGCCCTCCTCCTCCTCCACCCTCCTCCCCCTCCTCCTCCTCCGCCCCCTCGTCCTCCTCGGGTCGCCGGCGGCCCCGCGGGAACCGTGAGAGGCAGGGCGCGGGACTTTCCGTTGGCCGGTCGCGCCTGGGGGGGTGCACCAGGACCGCTCACCGTCGCTCCGAGCTTCGGAGCCGGCCATGCGCAGGAGACTGTTTTTTTCTAGGGTCCGGCGATAGCCCGGTTATCTGGCTGGCCCCCCTCCCCCCCGGATAACCTAACCTTGCCGTTGTGCAGGTCCGCGGGTGGGGGGGCGCGGGCATATGCAGGGCTGTCCACAGACCGCAGGTTGGGTTATCGGCCGGTCTTCCCCCCCCCCCGGATAACCCAGGCAATCGCAGGGGGGGGGGGGGGAGGAGGGAGGGAGGGTCGGAGGAGGAAAAGGTACCCATACCTCTGCCCTTCGCCCGTTTTCCTCTCCTTGGGCCTCCTCGGAGGCTCTCGTCGCCACCGCTGGATTCGCCTCGAGATCCTGGTCAGAACGCACCCCGGGGGAGGAGGAGAGGAGGAGGGGGAGGAGGAGGAAGAGGAGGCGGAGGAGGAGGAGGAGGAGGAGGAGGAGGAGGGAGGAGAAGGAGGAGGATGAGGCGGAGGAGGAGGAGGAGGAGGAGGGAGCGTACCGGTACCTTTTGGCCTCCCCTGAGGGGGGCAGGGGGAGGGGAGCGGGGCGCCCCTAGGAGATCGAGGATCGATCCTTCTGCTTTGGAAGTGGAGGGACGTCCTGACCAGGAGGGCGCCCCCAGGAGATCGAGGATCGATCCTTCTGCTTGGGAGGAGGAGGGAGTGGGGAGAGGGCACATTTGGCGGCGCGCAAAAAAGGGGGGTATGGGGGAGGGGGGAAGGTTTCTTACAAGCACCCCTGCTTCTCAGGAGGTGCTGGCCGCATCTGTAGATGTCAAGAAAGCCGGGGCCGTCTGAGAAGCAGGGGTACTTCTAAGAAGCCTTCCCCCCTCCCCCTACTCCCTTTTTTGCGGGCCGCCAGAATGCCCCCTCTCCCCACTCCCACCTCCTCCCAAGCAGACGAATCTATCCTCGATCTCCTGGGGGCGCTCTCCTGGTCAGAACGTGCTTCCTCCCAGGCAGAAGAGTCGGTCCTCGAGCTCCTGGGGGCGCCCTTCTGGTGAGAAAGAGTCCAGCGGGGTCTGGCAGTGGAGGCGCGCCCACGGGAGGGCCCACCCTATCCCCAGGCCCGAACTCGGCGGAGAGCCGAGGGGGAACGCGAGAAGGAGAAGGCCTTCCCAGCAGGCTCCGAAGTCCCCCAGCCGTCCGAGAAGTTGTTTAAGCCTTCCCCGAAGACACCGAACCTTTCTCTCAGAAGGCGCGAGGGCTTCTGAGAAGTCTCGCCGCCTTTTGAGAAGGCCTTCTCCTTCTGACTACCCCATCGCTCGCCGCCTACAAACCGTTGACGATGTGATTTTGGCAACCTGCGGCCCCAGAGCTCCCGACCGCTTAACTACCCGCGTGGGCAGCTTCCCATTGCAAGTCCATTCCTGATGGCACCGGCACGGGCCCCAGAACTCGAGTAGGGGGTCGATTGCAGAATCCATTTACCCTAAGCTTGATTTTCTCCTCGAACCCTTGAGAAACATACATTCAATAGTCAGTCGATCTACGGAGCATTCTACGCTTGTTTCGTAGACTCGACGGGCAGCCAATTTCTGGGTAAATCGATTCTGTAGTCACTCCCCCACTTGAGCAGCCCGAAATCCGAACCCGAGGAACAACGCTGGATCGAAGAAGACACCGTCGAAGACCTGGGAATGTTGATCCTCGACCTCCTGGGGCGCCAACACGGGCGCGCCTGCGCGCGCGCGGGGCTGCGCTCGGGACCGCGATCGCGCGCGCCTCTGAGCGAGGCCTCCGCGGGATCGCTTCACGGAGGAGCTTAACGTACACGCCGCGCCCCGCCTGGTCTGCCAAGGGAACCCCCTTCGGTATTGTTTTTTTCTTCTGGCGTTATCTCCCGAAGTGCAACATCGCTCTGGCCCGGGAAGCTGATCCGGTGAGGACATTCGAATCTAGCAGGAAAATGGGGGTCGAGGGTTCTGGCCGTGATTCTTCACGGTGTTGCAATCTGTTCGCAACGTCGGATCTTCAGATCTCAGGGCGCTGGCTTTTTGACCAGGGACCTGGGTGCACTAGCAGCCTCGAGCACCCCCGCAGGCTGAGGAGCCGAGGCGTCCGACCACCGAGCCCCGACGACCCCGACGCTGCGAAGAAGGTCAGCATCGCGAAGCATCGCCGCTGGAGCATTGGGCCCCACCTGTGCTGCTGCACTCGTCGAGCCCGATCCGTCTGTGAGGGCCCGGGGGCCCCAGGTGATCGTTTTCTTTATGCACTGTTTAGCCGATCGGCGCGGGCCCTCCCCCCATCCATGGAGTAGATCTTGGCTGTTTTTTAGTGCCCGTTTCGAGCAGGTGTGTTCCCTCCCCCCTCGGGCGCACTCTTCCAAACAGTCGCACCAAGCAGAGGTCTGGAGCCAGACCCCCCCTCCTGCCCCCCCCCCTTGCCGCCCCATGTCGACACGCCGAAGATCAAAAACGTTCACAGGACGGGCCCCAACGTTGCGAAGAAGTTCAGCCTCGCGAAGCATCGCCGCTGGAGCACTGTACCCCACCTGGGCTGCCGCACTTGTCCAAGTCCGATCCGTTTGTGGGGGGCCTGGGGGCCCAAGGCCGGGCGAGAGAACGCCGGGCGGCCAGGAGCCCACCGCGGGGGGGGGGGCCGCTGCTCGACCCCGCCGCCTCTGCGGCCGGTGTCGAGCCCGATCGAGCTTTGGTGGCCCTGGTGTTAGGTCGGGCCTGTCCCTCTACAGGAGGACTATTCTAACCTAGTCAAAACAGATACTGTGGGGCCAACTTTTGGACTATTCCTCAAAATATTTGGGGCATTTTGCCCTTCAAAATCCGCCCGTAGGAGGACATGCTCGACCTAACCCTGGTGGCCCCGAGCCGGGCGAGAACGCCGGGCTCGTCAGGAACTCCGCCGGGGGGGGGGGGGGCTGCTCGACCCCCCCCTGGAGGGTTTCTCCGAAGGGCTTAGGCGACCCCTCTTCCTCCTCCTCCTCCTCCGCCCCTGCTCCCTCCTCTCTCCCCTCCTCCTTCTCCTCCTCCTCCTCATCATCATTCTCCTCCTACTCCTCCTACTCCTCCTCCTTCTGCTCCTCCTCCTCCTCCTCCTCCTCCTCCTCCTCCTCCTCCTCCTCCTCGGGTCGCCTGCGGCCCCGGGGGAAACCGTGCAACTCCCCCCCCTCCCTCCCCCCCCCCCGAGCCGCGCAGCGCGGGCGCCCTGCCCTCGTCTCGCAGGCGACGTTTCTCTCCCCCAGCCCCCGACGCTTCGAGGAAAAGTTCGACCCGTCCTCCTCCGCCTCCTCCTCCTCCTCCTCCCTCCTTTCCTCCTCCTCCTCCTCCTCCTTCCCTTCGTCACCTCCTCCTCTCCTCCTCCTCCTCTCCTCCTCCTCCTCCACCTCCTCGGGTCGCCTACGGCCCCGGGGGAAACCGTGCAACCCGGCTCGCAGGCGACATTTCTCCCCCGGCCCCCGACTCTTCGAGGAAAAGTTCGAGCAGGGGATCGATTAGTGAGCGTTGTTTTAATTAGTTGTTTTACCGATCGGCGCGGGCCCTCGCCCCCCCTCCCCTCACCCCCCACCATGGAGTGGATCTTGGCTGTGTTTGGGGCTCATGTTTCGAGCAGGTGGGGTCCCTCCCCCATCGGCCGCACTTTTGCAAACAGTCTCACTAAGCAGAGGTATGGAGCGAGATCCCCCCCTCCCCCCCTTCCGCCTAACGTCGAAACGCCGAATCGAAAAGCGCTCAGCTACAGAATTCCTCCACTCCAAGATTGGTTCTCTCGTCGAGCCCACGAGGGAAAGACGTAGAACAGTCAGTAGGTCTACGGAGCATTCTACGTGCGTTTCGTAGGCTCGACGGGAAATCGGTTTTGGGAGACTTCGATTCTGTAGTCGATACCCGCCTTGCCGTCGTACGTCCCAGGTTTGGGCCCCAAACTTTTGGTTCATCCGAAAACCCCACGAAGCCTGGGATAGGCGTCGACATATCAGAGCACGCAATATATCAGGTGATGCATTCGGCTGACCATTGTGATTTTTGGGAACTTACACGGACGTCGAGTTGCAGCCTGCGGTGTGGCATGATGTTCCATTGTCACGACGTTGGTGCAGAGTGTTTTTGCGTCGTCGCCACCCCCTCTTCTCCGATTCTGGCCAGTTGATTCCCCAATGGAATCAGCATTGATGCCGGCGGTCCTGCCCCCCCTCCTCCAGGCGAAGATTTCTGTCGATGTTGGCGAGGTTTTTTGGGATTGGCGGATATTGTTCAGTGCGTTTTCGATTGGTATATATTTTTTCTGGTGCATTTGACCAACATATACAGACCAATCCGCCGGGGCCAGTTTCGCGCCTCATTGATAGATATGTTGAGGGCAGTTTTCTGGCCTGCGCTGTGAATTTTCAGAGCCGCTTCACGTGGGGCACCGTGCCCCATTGTAGGACCCCATGGGCAGTGCAGCGCAGGTAGCCTTCATTCTACCTCGCCGTGCCATAGACAGCCCGCCCGCGCTGGCACCTTGAAAGCCGCAGATTCGCATGAATGTTGCGTGTGCGTCTTTGAGTTGTTCCAGCAAGGCGCCTTCCCAGATATAGTTTACCCTCCAAGACATATCCCGTGGTGCCGTCCTTCCCTTTCTCGCCGGAGTGGCGCTCTGGTGCCACCCTGCCGGGCCCCCGCGGCTCGCTGCGGCAGGTCTGGCGGCCGACAGGGATGCACGGGCGAGCGCCTATAATCACGAGGAGGCCGTGGTGGGCATGTGGCACCTCAGTGCTTGCGCTCCGTGGCCCCCATGCACCCCGTGCAGCACAGCGAGACTCCTACCTCCCCTCGCCCTGCCACCCAGAGGCGCACATCGTGGGGCTGCAGAGCACGGCCTCCGCGTCGACTGCGAGACACAAGCACCTGGAGGCCGCCCCCTCGCTCGCCCGGGGGGCAGCTGCCGCGCTGCGGGCCGCATTGTCGCAGCCACTTCTGAAGAATCTGAGGACGCTGCGACCACTTGCGAACCCTACCCCTGCGGGTCCAAGCGACGCTGGGGTATCGGACACCCCCGCTGGGGGCCACTCGGCTGGGCTGCAGACATCTTTCAAATTCTGGGCCCCAGCTGATCTTCCAGAAGTCTGGCATGCGGGGATCGATGGGGTTGACGCGTGAGAGCCACCACCCACAGCGAGGGGGGCTGGCCGCTCCACGTCCCCGAGCCGGTGGCACCCGTCTCTGGGCGCGCCCCCAGAGAGTGCCCAGAACGGAGTGCCACCAGCTCGGAGGGGTGGCCTGACGGTTCCAACCGTCTCGTCACAACAGCCAACTCCAAACGAGGATGCCACCACGCGCCAAATGCGTGCCGACATTCTGAAACAAATGGGCCAGAAGCAACAGCCATATGCCGGTCCGGGGCCACCGATTCGAGCAAGGAGGGAGAGGGGAGGGGAAGGGAGGAGGAAGGGAAGGAAGAGGGAGGGGGGAAGGGGAAGGGGGGAGGGGAGGGGAAAAAGGGGAGGGGAGTTGGGTGAGGGGGAGGGGGGAGGTGCAGGAGAGGGGGAGGTGGAGGGGAGAGGGGGAAGGGGGAGGGGGGGGGGTGACAGGGGAGGGGGAAGGTGGAGGTGGGGGGGGGGAAAGGGGGGGGGGAAAGGGGAGTGGGAGGGGAGGGGGAGGGGTGAGGAGTGGGGAAAAGGGGGAGGGGGAGAGGGCAAGCAGGTGCGCTCGCGTCATATCTGACGTCCTACCCCTCCCTCCCATCCCTTACCATGGCGCTGATTTTCTCTATCCGCGGACGCGTGTCGTAGCGGACCTGTGGCTCCGCGCGCGCGTGCGTAGTGGGTGGTGGTGCGCGTGCGTGCGTGCGTGCGTGTGTGCGTGGTGTGGTGGTTGTGGTGGTGCTGGTGCTGGTGCTGGTGCTGGTGCTGGTGCTGGTGCTGGTGCTGGTGCTGGTGCTGTGCTGGTGCTGGTGCTGGTGCTGGTGCTGGTGCTGGTGCTGGTGCTGGTGCTGGTGCTGGTGCTGGTGCTGGTGCTGGTGGTGGTGGTGGTGGTGGTGGTGGTGGTGGTGGTGGTGGTGGTGGTGGTGGTGCGGCGCGGTGGTGGCGGGCGGATGGGCGCGCGAGAAAGAGGCCCGCGCTGGGGCGAGAACGCCATCCTGAACGACGGGGGCCAAACACCGATCCGAAAATGAGGCCCACGCTGCAGCGGGAGCACGATTCGGAACGATTCGGGAGCAGAAATGAGGCCGGCGCCTCAGCGAGAGCACCATTTTGAAAAAAACATGCAGGCGAAATCCCGTTTCCCGGGAATCCTGTGTAAAAAAACGATGCGCGGGGGGGGTCGGATATCTTCGGGACGCCATCGGGGGAAGTGGGAGAGTATTGTAGTGGCCTTCGGCCAGTGCCGCCGATCCGAGGCGCTCCGACTGATGTGATCCTTCTTCGCCCTCGTCCTTCCTCTCTTTTTCCCTCCCCTCCTCTCACTCAGCATTTATCCAGTGGCCGTCGGCCTATCCCGCCACCGTGCGTGGGTGGTGGGTCAGAGGCCTCATGGATGCTGGTTGGGATCTCGTGGTTGGCTGGGACTTCTGGGGGCCTCTTGGGCGCCTCTTGGGGCTTCTTGGGGGCCTCTTGGGCCTCTTGGGGCCACTAGAGGGCCTCTTGGGGGTCTCTTGGGAGCCTCTTGGGGCTTCTTGGGGGCCTCTTCTGCGCCCCTTGGGGCCTCTTGGAGGCCTCCTCGGAGCCTCTTGGTGCGGGAGGGGTGGTACTCGAGTTCGGAACCCCCTCGGAGGCCACGATCCTTGTGAGGGGTGTCAAAAAACGCATCCGCCGGAAACTCGCACCCCCCCCCCCCCCACCCCCCCTTCCCCGGCAGAGCCACCCCGGCAACCCCCCCAGAGGCTGAGGCTCAGCCTCGAGGCTGTAGCTGAGACTCCTTGAAACTCACACGCCGGATCGGCGGATTTTCATATTGTGTAATTGTGGAGGGGAGGGGGGGGGGGAGGACAGGGGGAAAGGGATCGGGGGGGGAGAGGGATGGGGAGGGGGAGGGGAAGCTTTCTGAGCCCCGCGCGGATCTCTCACGCCGGCGTTGCGACCCCTCTGCGGCGCCTCTGGCGCCGTGTGCCGCCCGCTCAGCGGCGCCTCCGCGCGGCGGGGATGGGCACGTCAGCATCGTTTTGCCCGAACCTCATCTCTATCCTCATCCCCTTCGAGACCCCCCCACATTAGAGACTGTTTGCTGGGGTCGGGCGATAGCCCGGGTTATGGGGCTTGCCCCCCCATACCCCCCTTAGGATAACCTAACCTTGCCGGTTGTGCAAGTCCGCGGGACGGGGTGGGCGGGCATACTTTAAACGGAGAAGGTTAAAGGCGAGGTATAAATCGAGCATGTACCGCTGCCGTGCCTGGCTCAAGCCGGGCCCGGCCAAATATATGACTGCGCCTCACCGAGGCGCACGACTGGTATCTGAGATCGGAAAATACCTTTTCCATTGAAGATGCCCTTCTATCCTTTACTCCAGATCCCATGCTTCGTCTCGCTCTCTTGCTCATGCGATATGAGCCAAAGCCTGGGATATGGCAACGCTTGAAGCGTAACACATACCTAAGCTTACCAGCTTGTTTTCGACTTGGTAGCGGAGCTGGCTACACTCTCGTGTGGCTGGCTCTCGCTCTGATTCCTGTAATCCACGGCACAACTTGGTGGACTACTACTACGGTGGAATACCATGTTGCGCCGGCTCTGCGAGGAGCGGAGCCAGTCCGCGATCGAGCTAGCGGGGCAACCCGCGAACTCGAGACGCTCTCTCCTACTTCACTGCGCTACTTCACTCTCGACTTCCACCAGATGCCAATCGGCAACTCGATCGAGAACGTGGTCACCCTGCGGGGCTACCCGCAGCGGGGCCACCTGCATCCCGTGCCAGTCAGGCGCCTCACGGCTACTACGCCAGAGCCTGACAAACCACAGCCTAAACCAATCACCGAAGCCGAAATGCACATGCACTGGATTAAGATAACTATCTTCGGCATTCTGTGGGTAATAATGGGATGTGCTGTGGGATACATGCGGCAGGGGATGGACGACACGCGTACTACCGGCCCTTCGTGGGACCCTGCCGGTACTACGCCTTTTCGCGAATACGTTCGCGAAGTACATGCATGGATAAACGTAACGAGCGGCAATATGACGCCACCTCAACAAGCTGCAGCACTACAACGAGGCCTTCAAGGTCTTGCTCGTCGTATCGCCATGCAGGTCCCCTCCCAGATCATCAATTATGGTGTAACTGTCAATGGACAGCCAACGGATGCAGTTACTTATATACTGTACCTATTGAGCACCAAATTTGAAAATCTGGAAGATGAGCGCCAGCTCAACTCTGGCACTGCCCTTATCGACTTTCGCGTCGAAAGGGGCGAGCGAATCGACTCAGTATTAGCTCGATTCGAGATGGCCCGTGACGAGGCTAACTCTGTTGGCTTTGTCATCCCCAACTTTCAGATCCTAACGCTGATCCTTTTCAGAGCGTTAGGCGTTGGCGCGTCACGAGCCCAACACCTGCTGGAGCCCTTTAATCATCAGATGCCCAGAACACAAGCAGACTATGACAGGCTGCTGACCAGGATGAGGAACTACGGACATGTTGCCGAGCGCTCTCCTGGCAACATTGCGGGTATCTTCACAGGGCACCACTCACATGCAGGTGTCTACGCCACGACTGCGGGGTCACCCGCTGGTCCTGGCGAGCCAAGTCCCTGGGCTGACCCAGCCGATATGCCCAACGAGGCCACTGCCTTCTTAGGGCAGACCGGCCAGGCATCGGCAGAGGCAGCTGAGGCGAACGCCTGGTCGAACTACTCGCCAGGCGCCGCCTACACTGCAAGCCCGCCCTCGGGCACAACCCTCTGGGGCCAAGCGGAGTCATCCGCTCAAGGGTCTCAGCCACCCTCACCGTTTGAATCTGGCACTGACACAGATACCTCATCTGACGATGAGCACAATGGCATAGTCTCTGCTGGTAATGACTATCCAGCGGATGACACTCACCTTTCTGAACAACAAAGAGCGGAAGCCGCTTTTATGGCTTATCGCAAATCAAAACGCCGTTGGAGGCGCTTTATGAAGAAACCAGTCAGAAAAGTGAGACGTGCAGTACGCCGACATTTCAAACGATATGGAAAGGGTCGTGGCAAAGGGGGTCGCAGACGCCGTATGCATGGTAGGGGTATTACTGCTTTCCTCACGTCCTTAACTGATATAGTTTTTGAAGAAGTTCTTATCGGAGGCAAAGGTCGGGGTCACAGGCGGACCTCTGGTAAGGGAAAAGGGCGGAGGGGCAACCCTAGGGACGCTTCTGGCAATACTATGAAGTGTCATACATGCGGTAGTACAGAGCATTTGCGCGATCAATGCCCGAAAGGGAAAGGAAAGGGATCCGTACATTTGGCTCAAAACTCTTTTATGGATGACATAGACTACATTGACTACGAGTTTTACGTCAATCCAGAAGCGGCTCCCGCCGCGGGCTCCTCCACGTATTACGTGATGGCCCGCTACGCTGAAGTGACCGTAGCCCTGGAAGACTACGCGGTGACCCTCTTCGACGAGTTCCACGGCTGGGACGAAGTCGACGAGGTCGCGTTCAATGCCTGGTTCGGTCTTCCAGCGGGGCCACCCGCCGACGACGAGATCTCCGATGCTGAGACCGTCCCGGCGACCGAGGAAGAGCTCGCCGCCGCGCTGGCACCGCAGGTGATTGGCATGCCGTTGCTGCCAGATCTTCCGCGAGCTGGCTCGGAAGCGGGAGACGCTGATGACGAAATGCGGGGCCATCCCGCGTATTCTGACTCTGAAGAGGCCGAAGAGGACTATAAGGACATGCTCCAAGAGCAGGTCGCAGAAGCAATCCGGCTCCTGAGTGCGCC